CCAGCCCTGACCCTCTGGGCACTGCTAGGTTGAGGGTTCTCACAGCTGCATGGGATCTAAGTCTGCTGTTTTTCAAAGCTTCCACAGCCAGAGAGGAGTCGGCGGGAACAGAGCAAGTTAAACACATGAGACTTGGTCCTGTCACCTGGATCCCATATTTTTTCTTGAATCAACACTCTTTGGATTGCTGTAAGATGGAGTTAATTTCCAGAGTCCTGAAACTTTGAGAATGTCAAAAATTTTCACGATTTTTATTGCTTTTAGGAAGGAGATACTTTGTGGCATCTTTACTTTACCATTACAGAGATCTCCCATCCGTTAATAGCACATTGCCTATGCTGTTGATTTAAACTTTTCTCTCTCTTCTGCTTTCAGAGACGATTGAGGTGGCATCTGTGACCTTACCCATTCCAGTGCAACCCAAGAACTATTATAAGAATGTGTCCGACAATAAGGAGATTGTAAAATTAGTCTCTGTGCTGAGCACAATCATCAGCTCTACCAAAAAGGTACGTCCCGAGGCCTGTGGCCTGGCCCTGGGCCCCACAGCCGGCCTGTGTGAAGGCGAAGAGGGCAAGCTCCTACTGTGGGGAACTGAGTCACACCCAGGGCCTCAGTGCCTGGCGAAAGGCAGCTTGTGTGGACTGAGCAAAAGCTTGTCACCTGAAGATCCCTAACCCAAGGGGAAAAGGAAAAAAACCGGTAATCCCCGGTAACGGGTGGTTTTCCGGTGAATGCCTCTAACCTCTTCTCTTGATACAAATGAGTTAAAAACATTTAGTATATCCCAAACCACAAATCAGATTGATGTTACCATTCCCCTTCCAAGAGTCAAATAGAATAAGGTTTACAGTCTATTTTTCACATTTACATAGGTAAGCCTTATAAAATATCAGATGAAAATTTAATAATATCATATAAACTTTTGTATAAACATAAAAAATATACACACATACACATATTTTCTCCGCTGGTCCTATCAACACAAACCTGTACAGGATATGGCGGTAGATTCAGGTTAATTTTTTTTCCCATCCAACTTGTTTTTTCTCTCAGCTTCCCCTTTTTTATTAAGCAAATTTACTCCTGTAACAAAAAAGACTTAGAACCCTGAAATCATCTCCCGTACCCCCATCAAATTTGTTAAAGAGTTTTTAGCAAGTAATCATGCAACCAGTCCTGCAAGGTCCATCCATGCGGTCCCAGATCTGTCTCTCCAGAAACCACCAAGCGTGTGCACTGGGCACAGATGCTGAGCACCCTCAGGTAGGATCTAGCTCACCTGGTTAATTAGCCAAGCGGAACCAGTACCTCTTGAAACCATTAAAACAATGTTTATTCCCATGGCACTGGGACCTCTTGACTTCAGAAGCATTTCTCAGTGTGGTAGGAACAATTTGCTGCTCAGAGAACACATCTCTGAGCGTTACTGGGTCTGGCTAGAAGGAGCTACATTTGTTTGAAAGCACTCTGGAAACTTCCCATTGACATAACAATTTGAGGAAATGTTACTTAGTGTTAATATCTTCCCAAGGGACCCTTAAGTCTTTGCGTTTATGCAAATTTAATTTTCCTATTTTAATATAACCAAAGGTTCTGAATTTAACTGCCTCAGGGACAGTGTTCACATAATTCAATAAATATCTAGTGCTTAGTTTATCAGGTTCTATACCAAATGATAAAGGTAAGTAGAATAGCCTATGAGAACAATAAAAATTCAGATACATTTTCAAATGTCTCAGTCATCACAGAAAACATAATGTCATTCATGAAGTCCATCACTTTTGTGAATATAATCAGCCTTTATTAGCAAATCTAAGGATAAGGTGCAGTAGCTGAAATGACACTGCTGGCAACAAAATACTGACACGTGTCAATTTTGTTGCATTTCCATTTCTTTTATATGGAGGAAATGAACAGATCTCAGTCATCTTTAAAATAGCAGGAAGGAGTGACAGTTTCCTGAAGAATTCGTTCCCCGGATTTACATGACGGACAAATTATTTCTGGGAGAAGGGATGCACAGGCAGTGACAATACTAGAAACGGGCAGCCCTCCACCGCCTTGGACCCTTCTAGAGGAGTTTGCTTCTACCATAGGGCATCCTGTGACCTCACCAGGAGCCCTGTCCTCCTGCCAGGGCTGATGGCTCAGAATGCAAACCCAGTCTACATTGAGCACATGCCTAGGTTGACCGTCCATTTCTAACACTGCCTGGCTTTAAACAAGGAGCTGAACTAAACCACCCAACCCACCCAAACCACCTTGGTAATGGAGATAACTGGAGCAGAACAGCTCACCTGTGTAGCTCATGTAGTTCTCCCTTTAAACTCTAGGATTCCTTCACCCTAAAAAATAGCTTTCTTTTAATAAGCATTGACACTCTTCTAACATAAGGGCAAATCTTATTGAGTGAGGGCGTTTTCTTCATAGTATGAACTCTTGGAGTGGAAAGAGCTCAGGATTCTAGCATTTCTACCCCTATGCAGGAGTCTTTGATATCTATACTTGTTCCTCTGAACCATAGTGCATCTGTGATCATGCCGCTTTCCTGTGTCACACGTTGATGTCTATACATCATCCCACACCAGGGGACCAGGTATAGTTGGATGAACCACGGCAGTCTTAGCTTTCTGCATTTCACTGGATGGGGAACTCGGCACCCAATGAAGGCACCCAGTGAGGCTGTGAGGGATGTTAGCTGTATGTGGGGAGGCAGAGTTAAGGACTCCTTGGTTTGGTGCAGGTTGGTGCAATGTACTTAAAACAGTTGTACAGTTTAGAAGGCTGTTGGTAATGATCTGTTGTTTCAAATGGTTGCAGTTGTTATGCCTCATTTTTCTTAACATTTTTTCCTCACACAGATATGACTTTTAAGTTATGATATAATCTAATGAAAAAAAAAACTCTATCCCCCAAAGGCATAAACATTAGAAATAAAGAGTCATTTAAAAAAAATCTTTATAGATAATATGACATCTACCAAGTAAATCTGAGACTGATCGGAAAAAAAAGTTGTGTGACCCAACAACAGTTAAGTTTGTTAAAAGATAAGTAATAGCATTTCTGATAAAATACATTAAATATGTTCCTGAAAATTTTTGTTTTGAGAAGTTATATATTTACTATTAAATGATAAGAATTTTGAGAAAAATGGGATAGAGGCAGACACATAAAATCTAGGAAATTTTGTAATGAGTTTATCCCAAAATGTTTTTGATCACAGTAAAATGTGAATATGTTTAATAATGCTGTAGAAATTAAAGAATTTTACTAGAAAGAGGTGAAAGAAGCTCAGGAGGTGTTCAAGGAGCAGGGGAGGTTACAGAGGCACAGAAGCATCGATACAGCATGGAGACCAGGCTGAGCTGTGCCAAGAACTAAGACAGATGGTGGCCCGACTGGCGTGGAGGCAGGAAGTGGTTCAGGGAGCAGGTGCACAGGGCCCTGCCTCTCCGAGGCCTGCTGCTATGGCATGTGTGGAGCAAAGCGCTGGCAGGAATGACATCTCATAATGAGACCCTCCTGGTACCATCACCCATTTTCCAGTGTGTGTGAGCCACGTCACCTTACAGAGGCGCACTGGTTAGCAAACTGAACTGATTACTAAACAAGAAAGTATTAAAACTCACATGGCATTCATGGCTAGTTATAAAAATAGTGGAAAAAGATCTTGTTTGCCATGACAACATCATGGAGAAATACCTAGGAAACATATTTAATAAGAAGTGTGTGGGGTCTCTATGAGGATCAGTCAAAAACTCAAGGAATTTTGGAAAAAAGATTCAAAATAGGGATGAGAAGATGTATTATTACACACCTATCAATTTTATTCAGATTTTAAACATTTTTTATGGGATACCATGGATCTCCTAATGGGATTCGATGCTGGCTGTTCCCTTTGTCCCACCCCCTCCAGAACTAAGGTCCACTGTTCTCCACCTGAGTGTCCCACCTCGGCAGCAGGTCAGCAGGGTCCCATGGAAGTTTTCAAGGGGTTCAACCCCTGAGGCATCTTGGAGCTCTGAGCAGCAGAGGGCAGAACTTCATAGTGTTTTCCCTCCTGCCTCATACCTCCCCAGTGGCAGGACTTTTTTTTCTTTTAAATTTTTGTTTTTAAAATTTGTTCTAATTAGTTACACATGACAGTAGAACGCATTTACACAAGTTGTACACAAATGGAGCACAACTTCTCCTTCCTCTGGCTGAACATGGTGCAGAGTCACACTGGTAGTATAATCGTACGTGTATACAGGGTAATAATGTCCATTTCATTCCACTGCCCTTCCCATCCCCACATCCCTTCCCCTCTCTCACTCCCCTCTGCACAGTCCAAAGTCCCTTCATTCTCATCCCCCAATTGTAAATCAGCATCTTCTTATTAGAATAATCAGCCTTTGTTTTTTGGGGGTTTACCTTATTTTGCTTAGCATAATATTCTCCAGTTCCATCCATTTACTGACAAATACCATTATTTTATTCTTCTTTAAGGCTGAGTAATATCCCATTATGTATATGAACCACATTTTCTTTATCCATTCATCCGTTGAAGGGCATCTTGGTTGGTTCCCTGTTTTAACTATTGTGAACTGAGCTGCTATAAACATTGATGTGGCTGCATCACTGTATTTTGCTGATTTTAAGTCCTTTGGGTATAAACTGAGGGGTGGGATAACTGGGTCAAATGGTGGTTCCATTCCAAGTTTTCTAAGGAATCTCCATACTACTTTCCAGAGTGGTTGCACCAATTTGCAGTCCTACCAGCAGTGTATGAGTGTACATTTCCCCCCCACATCCTCACCAACACTTATTGTTATTTGTATTCTTGATAACTGCTATTCTGACTGGAGTGAGATAGAATCTTAGCCTAGTTTTGATTTGCATTTCTGTAATCACTAGAAATGATGAACATTTTTTCAGATGTTTGTTGATTGTATTTTTTCTGTGAAGGGTCTGTTAAGTTCCTTAGCCCATTTATTGATTGGGTTATTATTATTATTATTATTTTTTTTTGGTGTTAAGTTTTTTTGGTTCTTTATATATGCTGGATATTTGTTCTCTATCTGAGGTGCGTGTGGTAAAGATTTTCTTCCATTCTGTAGGCTCTCTCTTCACATTATTGTTTCCTTTGCTGATAAGAAGCTTTTTGGTTTGAGTCCATCCCACTTATTGATTTTTGTTTTTGCTTCCTTATGCTTTAGGAGTCTGGTTAAAGAAGTCAGTTCCTAAGTCAACACTGTGGAGATTTGCTCCCATTTTTTCTTCTATCAACTACAGGGTCTCTGCTTTGGCACCTATGGCTTTAATCCACTTTGAGTTGATTTTTGTGCAGGGTGAGACACAGAGGTTTAATTTCACTTTGCTACATAGGAATTCCCAGTTTTCCCAGCACCATCTGATCAATAGGCTATCTTTTCTCCAGTGTATGTTTTTGGTGCCTTTGTCTAGTATGAGACAACCCTATTTATGTGGGTTTGTTTCTGTCTTCCATTCTGTACCATTGCTCTACCTGCCTATTTTGGTGCCAATACTATGCAGTTGTTATTATTTTTTCACTATTGCCCTGTAGTATAGTTTAAGGTCTGGTATTGTGATGCCTCCTGCTTCACTTTTCTTGCTAAGGACTGGTTTGGCTATTCAGGTCTCTTGTTTTTCCAAATGAATTTCATGACTGCCTTTCCTAGTCCCATGAAGAACAGGAGCTCTGCTTAAGAGGGTCCTGTCCACAGGACTTTCAAAGACTTTGTTTTCTTCTACTTTCTGGAAACGATTCTCCCCTCTGGCCAGAGATGGGAACAGTGAGCCATGACCAGCCCTGCTGTACTGTCCACGCCATTCCCTGCATCTTGGTTCTATGGGAGCTGGGCAGTGGGCAAGTCTTCCCGAGTGTCATGATGCCGTTTCAGGTTATGCCTTCTCTACACAGACTGTTATTTCTATTCTAGGAAGTCATTACATCCATGGATTGCTTCAAACGCTACAATCACATTTGGCAAAAGGAGAAAGAAGAGACCATTATGACATTTATTACGCAAAACCCTTTGCTTTCTGAATTTGAGTCCCAGATTCTGTATTTCCAAAACCTGGAGCAGGAAATTAATGCTGAGCCTGAATATATCTGTGTGGCTTCCATTGCACTGTTCACAGGTTGGTTCATTTTCTTTCAGACACTTACATAAAAGGTATCTTTTTAAAAAATCTCTTTACCTAGATCAGTATCCCAGAGAATACTAATATTAAGATATTCTAGCTATCTTAAGGATTGACTTTCCTTTCATGGGCCTCAAGCTTTAAGACCAATTTGTAGAATTGTTTTTAATTCCCTTCTGCAAAATTATTTATTCTGGACTATTTGGAATACTTTGATGCTAAACCTTGGAAATAAAGGCTGGTTTAGAGAAAAAGGATACAATCTTCTATATTTAGAATCAAGATTCATCCTTCCTTCAATAAATAACAGTAACAAACATTTGAGACTTGTCTCAGAGGGTTTTGATAGCTATCTTTATTTCAAAGCATTTCAAAATGCATTTTGAATTGTTGCAAAAACAGGCTTTACAAAATGAATGAACATATAATGATTCAGAAATGTTTTCCCCAGTTTAATTTTCATGTTTTCGAGAGATACAGGCTGCAGAGTGCTCACTGTGAGTGAGTACTCAGTCTTTTCACACCGATCCCGTTTTTCAAACTGAACTCTGGATATTTGGGTTGTACAGCTGACTTGAAATTTGCCCTAACCACGGAGACAAAAGCCTGGATGCTTGTCATCGGCCGCCACTGTAACAGAAAATACAGGAGCGAGATGGAAAGCATCTTCACCCTGGTGGAAGAATTCAGTAAGAAACTGAGTCGTCCAATTAAGGACCTAGATGATATTCGGATCGCGATGGCCACCCTGAGAGAAATCAGGGAGCAGCAAATCCCCATCGACTTTCAAGTAGGACCCGTCGAGGTAACTGATCCCTGTTTGTTTAGTGCAGAAACGTTTTCACACATAGAAGCCATCGACTGACGTATGGACCAGGTCTGGGCTGGAATTACAAATGGTGCAGACCCAAGCACCACTGCGGTAATGATGATGCTTCACCTTTGTCCAGTTCCTTTCTTGGGCTAGTTCTCATCCATGACATGCCATTCAAGGTCCCCAAGAACAGGGCCTGTGATGACAGTTTCTAAGTTAAATATTTACTGATAAGCACTGACCAGAGGAGGGGAGTGAAGGAAACAGGAAAGGACAAGGGTGTCAAAGCTAAGTGCCACGCGGTTTCAGCTGTCGGCTAAATTCAGCCCCATCCTCGGGGAGCTGCGCCCAGGAACTTCACCACACTTGGTCCCACCTTGAGGCCAGGGAGACTGACCCTTTGCCCCCAGGCCAGTGGTCATGGAGGAGGCTCCCGTGCAGCAGAGGGCAGTCTTCCAGGGAGGGAGGCAGGGTGGTCCTTAGGACTCTCGGGAGTTGGGCTGGGACTCCCAGCTGTGAGCAGGACCACCCTCCCACAGCCCTGCTTTCCACACAGGGAGCAGGCTCCAAGAACCGCGCAGCTTGACCTGTGTGGCACACCACTGTGGTTTTGGTGCCATATCTGGCTCTCTTTTCCACAAAGAAATCGTGTATCAGAAGTGGGTCATGTATGTACTTTTCACAGAAAAATTCCAGACATAAAACATTGTCATTTTATCACGTTGTAATGAAATGTCTGGTCTTACCCTCTGAGGGTCGAGACCAGACTCCAGCCTCACACTTTCCCCAGTACTCTTGGTATTTCTAAAGATTCCACGATCCTGTGAGGATAGTACAGATCACTACACATTTATCCCTTGTCTTGGGGGGCCGTGGGGTCCCGTCTTCCGTCACGTTCTTCTTGGGAATGGAAACATCAAGGCAAACAGTCTGCTCCTTGTGCAGGACCAGGGAGTTCCCGGGGTTTGAAGAGGAGGTGAAGTAGCTGACAGTCGCATTTTCTCCTCCTTGGGAGTTAAGACAGAAGTGGAGTCAAGGCGTCAGGATGACAGTATAACATTTATGCTGATAGAGCTCATTCAGAAGATGTAATGGAGTGCACCTCTCTGGTTATCGCTTTCCCCATCCACCAAACGTGCATGCACACACCCTGGACTCGAGAGCACTGAATCCCAGGATCAGCGCACTTTCTTACCCATCAGAGGCGACCCTGGGACGCCGCAGGCCTCTCTGTTACCCTGATCCACATTTGTGGCATGGAGGGACCGGTCACAGGAGTGCTTCCAAGAAGGAAGAGAGAAGAGCGAGAAAGGCCCAGGGCCATACTTGCCCAAATCAACATCCTCTGCCCCCCCAAATCAGCAGTCAGGTCTCATTCTCCTCCGTGGGGAGGAGTAGTGGTGGGAAAAGAGGCCAGGGATATTTAGGGAAAATCATTTCTTATGGCACCAAACTCTGCTTATTTTAATTTCTCAGCTGAAAGAGTGATCCCAGGTTTTGCAGACTGGGGGCAATGATTCGGCCCAGGTTCTGACTCCAGAACACCCACTTAGGTCTGACTACTGGAACCACTTAGCAACAAAGTGGCATGGGGCCAAGTTAAAATTCTGGTTTATTTTGTTATTCTAATATTAGAATTTAAATTGTTTTAATGCTTTCAATTTACTTGATATGATTGTGTAGTCTTCAAGTACAATCTGGAGGCCTAAGTAAAGCTATCTTTTATTTGTGTAGCAATTTATAGTTTTAAAAATGCATTTAAAATGATATTTTTTAGATACTAGCAAAGATCCTGAAGCATAGCCAGGGACTTTTCTAGTTTCCAGGATGAGAAAACCAGAGCTGAGTAGCTCAGTTGCTCTTAAATTTGCAAGTTCAGTAACTAGAATCCTGAGGGTGAGGCCATGATCACCCTGTCACACTGATCTACTCCCCTCTGATGCTTTAGTAAACGACCGTATGTAGGTTTCTATATCTGTCAGGAATCAAGCTTTTCTTCTTTCACGCAGGAATCCTATGCCCTGCTTAACAAATACGGACTTCTGATAGCCAAGGAAGAGATGGACAAGGTTGACACTCTGCGCTATGCTTGGGAGAAGCTCCTGGCACGTGCCAGCGAAGTTCAGAATGAACTGGTCTCTCTACAGCCTGGTTTCAGGAAAGAGCTTATCAGCACTGTAGAGGTCTTCCTCCAAGACTGTCACCAGTTTTATCTGGACTATGATTTGGTATGACTTTGGCTTTCTCTGGGTTTATTTTCAGGGAAGAGTAAAAACAACAAACAACATGTTATTGTTTGAAAACGATGTGTTGAATTTCATAAAACTTTTTTAGAAATTGGGATTTTATTTTATATATATATGTGCGTATATATATTAGTTGTAGGTGGACACAGTACTTTAATTTGTTTATTTATTTATTTATATGTGGTGCTGGGGATCAAACCCAGTGCCTCACACATGCTAGGCAAGTGCTCTACCCCTGAGCCACAACCCTGGCCCTGGGATTTTATTTTTGCAGAAGAATTTCATAAAGTATTTTCTTTCCATGATTCCTTCCCCTTAAAGTTCATCAGAAAAATTTCAAACGAAATGGGGGATTTAAAAGTGCTATTCATATTGTATGATTGGTCTGGTACTGGGATTGCTTAATAGCTTTCTGAATTTCTAAATTCAAATATAAATACTGTTCCTCCTTTCCAAAGCATTCCTTAGTTTTACAAATGAACGAAGCACGTGCCAGGCACTGTCCTTTGTGCTGAAGATACAGTGGTGGGCCCTTGTCCCACGGAGACCATATTTTAATCATATGTATAGGGTTTAGGGCAGAATCTTCTAGTGGAAATGTGGTGTGTAATGAGATCCATTTCCAGCTAATTATCATGTGCTACCCAAGAGAAATATGTATAGCATGGGGTAAATTTCAAACCTGTTAACTAGTAGCACACCAAACCACAAAGCTAATAAAGTTTGAGGTTGAACCCACGTAGTCACTTCATAGATGAAGAAGCACAGAGACCCACACATTTAAGTTTCGTAATGTAGGGAAAATTAATTGTAATATTGTGTATACAGTTCACTTTACAAGTAGGTATTAGAGTGTTGAAGTCTGCAAGTTAATAGCATGAGCATTTCTGCTGAAACAGAAGGACGGGCTTCTTCCAGAGGAGCCATTGAGTCTTTTTTGCCTGTGTCATCTAAGAAGTAAATAACACATATTTAGAATTTTCAAGGCCTCTTAACTTATGGAAGTAGCATTAACTTGCGCTTTTCAGACTTGAGACACAGTTCCAACTGAATCACTTTCTGAGTCATTTTTACCCATAAAAACTATTTTCCTATTATGTATATGACGTGTAGGAAAACAACTTAGGTACTCAAACACTTTGAGCTTATGAAATTTGTATGCAGACACTTCATTTCATTTTATGTTTAACTGTTTTGCCTCAGAATGGTCCGATGGCCAGTGGCTTGCAGCCTCAGGAAGCCAGTGATAGGCTTATCATGTTTCAGGTAACATTTCAATTTCTACAACTTTTACAAATAATGAAAACCTTATTGAGTTTAAAACTTACATATGCTTTTTAAAGACATAAAAGCTTATTGTAGAATATGAGATGCATTTACATTTTTTTAAAAAAGTCTTTATTTTATTTATTTATTTTTATGTAGTGCTAAGGATCGAACCCAGTGCTTCACATGTGCTAGACAAGCATTCTACCACGAGCCACAACCCCAGTCTGCATTTACCTTTTTATGTGTATATGATTTGTTGTGGTTCCCATTAGAAGGGGTTTCTGTGAATGAATTGCACTCGTTCAGTGTTCTTAGTTACGTATGTCAGAGATCATAATTCTTGTTTCTTTGCTAGTATTTTCACTTCCGTGTTTGTTCATGTGTAAATCATTTTGATGAGTTTTCACTTGTGTTGTTTTTAGAATCAGTTTGATAATATCTATCGGAAATACATCACCTACACTGGTGGAGAGGAATTGTTTGGTTTGCCTGTGACGCAGTATCCCCAGCTTCTTGAAATAAAGAAACAACTAAATCTGCTGCAGAAAATATACACACTGTACAACAGTGTCATAGAAACGGTCAATGGCTATCAAGATATCCTTTGGTCGGAAGTGAATATTGAAAAAATCAACAGTGAGCTCTTAGAATTCCAGAACAGGTGAGAAATGAGATGCCCGGCATGCCAGAGCTGTGGCTTCAAAGGCTTGCTTCTGGGATGGGCCGTTGGATTTGCTTTCCACCCGGATGCTTCAAAAGCACATGGTGCTACCTCGTTGTCTGTTGACAGCGTCCTCATGAATCGCTCTGTTAATTGCCCCTGTGTGTAAGTGGTGAGAGGTGCCTCCGCTAAACCTGGATGAATCTTGTCAGGCCTTTCCTGCAGTGTGGAGGGAGCTGGGCTTTATTTGTATTACATGTCCCAAACATTTGAAGTTAATGTTAGCTACTTTCCTGGAATCAAAGCAAGGGGCCCGTGGTTTGTCCTTTCAAGTGCTGAACCCAAGGAAGATGGGCGCCCCTTGTCATGCGTGTGAGTTGATGCGCTGTGCTGTGCTTTGAATTTCGTATGTTCTCCCCATCTGTTTGGAGAGTTGAAATGGATTCAGAGGCACCTCTAACCTTTGATGTAATGCTTCTACCTAAGTAATTGTTATGAGGGATGGAAAAAATAAAGACTTTGCTGACTTGGAGAATCGATTTTATGTAAAACATGCCAGTATATTAAACTAAGAGATAATGTCTAAGTCTTGAAATTTCAAAATCAGATAGATATTTGAAAAGACTTCTTTGTGCTTTTGCAGTGCTGGGACATGAACCTGGGGCCTTGTGCATGCTAAGCAAGCACTCTATCACTGAGCTCCACCCAGCCCTTCCACACTGGTTTCTCTTCACAGGTGTCGGAAGCTGCCCCGGGCACTAAAGGACTGGCAGGCTTTTTTGGACCTGAAGAAGACCATTGATGATTTCAGCGAGTGCTGCCCCCTGCTGGAATACATGGCCAGTAAAGCCATGATGGAGAGGCACTGGGCGAGGATCGCCACTGTCACTGGGCACAGTCTGGATGTGGGGAATGAAACCTTCAAGTTGAGAAACATCATGGAGGCACCTCTTCTGAAGTACAAAGAGGAAATAGAGGTATAGCTCATCAAGTCTGATGTGGAGGAAGATCTGAAGGTCTGATGGGATTTATTTCATAGCACTCCCATATTGTGGGGCAAACCACATTAGGACAATCGGAACTCTTGGCATTCAGCCCTAACTCCTGAGCAAGTGGTTGTCCAATGCATACCTATGCGACAGGTTCTGAGGGGGGACATAAAGATGTCTTCCTGTATTCAGAGATCATTAAATAATCAGTAAAATAATCATGCGAATCGAAGTGTAGATATAAGCTGTAGTAAATGCCACTGAAGGAAAAGAATGCTATCCAATGACAGCCTGTGATACAGGGGTTTGTCGCTTCCGCGGATGATAAAGGTAGGAGGGCAAGCTGGGCTGGCTGGGTGAGTGAGCATGGCCATGTAGTGGAGATGAGGAGCTGTGTAAGTGCAAAGAGGACCATTCCAGGAAGAGAGGAAATCGTGTGTGAAGTATCTGAAACGTGTTGGAGCAAGCAAAATATGGCTGTGTGTCTTGGCTATGGAGGAAGAGGAGAGAAGAGACTGATCCTAACACATGTTGTTGGCTTTCGTCGCTAGGGCAATGGGGACCACCTGGGGGATGTGTCTCCAGAGGGGATGACTTAGGTTTGCATTTCTTAAAGATCATCCTGATGGTCAAGTGCAGGGGAGAATGATAGCAAACCAACAGGGAGCTTAGGCAAGAGATGCTGGCTTGTTGCCAGGGGAGGAGGTAATGAGCCTGGAGAGAAGAGGAGAGATCCCAGGAATTTTTAGGAGGTGAAACTATAGAATTTGTTGATGGAGGGAATGTGGTAGGAGAAAGATGGGGAGGGGATACGATGATCTGTGGCTTTCCTGTGGAGGGGTCTGGGTGGGTGATTATGCTCATGTGGAGACTGGTGATATTGTAACGGGATTGCATGGGGGTGACAAGAGCAGAGATCGAGAGCTTGCGTTTGGAGTTTGATATTTCACAGGTTGTGTTGGGGTTCTCCTGAAACATACAAGCAGAGAAGCTCAGTAGGCAAATGGATGTGGGTCTCAGCTGGAGATATGAGGGATCACCAGACACAAGGGAATGGATCAGCTCAGCCAGAAAGGGAATGTAGTGTGAGAAGAAATGAGGGCAGAGACAGGCTCAGCTAATGGTCTGGGAGAAGATGAAGCTGCAAGTGAGACTGGGAGAGCGACCAGAAACCAGGTTTTCTGCTAAATTCCTCCCCTCGCTGCGTTTGTTGACTTTGGAGATAAATCAGAAACATTATGCTTTGAGTCTGTGATTAAGGTTCAAAATATAAAATACATCTTTCCTATTATCTTTCTGGAACAGTTTTGTGGGAATTTTTATAAATGAAGCTTCTCTTTAGTCATCGTTATCCCCGTCTCCTTCCACATTTATACCTACTCGTGCACAGCACTATTATATGGTATTTGACATCTGGAAATATACGTATTTTAGATACATATGAAGCAAATAGAGAAGACAACATCTCTGCTGAACCTGAGCTGTTCATGAGATGTGTCACTTTCATGTAATAAAATGAGCACTTACCATTTTGATAGGACATCTGTATCAGTGCAGTGAAGGAGAGAGACATCGAACAGAAGCTGAAGCAAGTGATCAATGAATGGGACAGCAAAACATTCACATTTGGCAGTTTTAAAACCCGCGGAGAGCTTCTCCTGCGAGGAGACAGCACCTCAGAAATCATCGCCAACATGGAGGACAGTTTGATGTTGCTGAGTTCTCTCCTGAGCAACAGGTGGGAAAACCATCTACCGTTGCCCTCATATTTGAGAATCACAATAACGGACATTCCAAGGGAAGTTAAGAAAAACACATTGCAATAATACCCTTCATACAAATAAAATACTTGCTTTAAGTTTAGCCTTTGGCACAGCACATGTAACAATGGTTTTATTTCATTATCCTCTATTTGTGGGATGTGTCTGAGATAGAGCGGACAAAATAATGCTACATGTAATTAACCACTTGGATCTCGCTGAACATTTCAGCTTTGCTTCGCTGCACAGCTGACAGCTCTACAGGTTCTGGGTTCCAGGCGGGACATTATTCTGAATTCCAGAATAATCATTCTACTTGAAAAAAGTTTTTTGCTAACATTTATGGACTAGAATTCTTAGTTGTGTACATACACTCCAATGAGATGACAGATCAAGATATGGGATGAGTTTGATTCATAATGAGGAGTTACATTGCATAGAGAAAGGCCAGGCTAATAGTTCCATTTCACTATTTGAAGGTAACAACAAAGCCATCACATTTTGGACATGGAAACTGTAGAATCAGGAACTTAAATTTGCTTGGGATGTGTAAGAGATGAGCTTTCTGTTGCTCTTTCCAAGATATTTTTTTTGTTCTTAATAAATGGTAATTGTATAATATGGGGATACCATAAAGATATGAATTTATTGTGCTATGCTAGCTTTAAAATGTCACTCTCCTCCCTGGGCACATGTGTATCAACACTTCAAATATAGGAAGTGCCATCTCTTTAAACCTGTATTGATAAAAAATTCCTCTTCCATTTTCTTGGTACTCCCAAGTAACATGGGATATAAAATTAGGTTTTGGAGATTTAGACTGTTGGTGATGTCAAGTTTGGACTGCTCAGGATCTGGTGAATTTTAGAAATCTTAGTCATATGCAGACAGCTTAAAGAGTTAAGATTTTTAAAAGGGGTTTTAATTCAAAAAACAACATCAATACAACAGAAATGAAACATTGAGCATGTTTCTTATTTTAGGTACAACATGCCATTCAAAGCCCAGATTCAAAAGTGGGTTCAGTACCTTTCCAATTCAACAGACATCATCGAGAACTGGATGACCGTGCAAAACTTGTGGATTTATCTGGAAGCTGTCTTTGTGGGAGGAGACATTGCCAAGCAACTGCCCAAGGTTTTTGAATTTTTAAATATTTCCTTGAGGTTTTTTTTCAATTAGAGAAAAATCCAAGAACTAATAACCTCTTAAAGAACACAGTAATATTTTAATCTTTATTGCACGCCTGCCCCCAGAATTTTTGTTTTCTGCTGTGGATGTTGTTCTTCAGAGTCAGTGAGGAATTGTGGAAAGCAAAAGGGCAATACAGAGAGTAAGAATGCAATGAAACCGTGATGTTTGGCAGGAAACCAAGGGTTAAAAAAACAGACTGTGAATTCCCACATAATTGATGTGCTTCTTCAGATAATGTGGAGCTAGAACTGGAGCAGTGTGGAATTATGGTATAGTTATCTTGACAATGGCTGGATAATTTGTTCTTCTATAGCTGACATTTAAAAATAATGCACAGTCTACAATGTACTCAATTATCTCTGTACTGTAAGATTGAGGGGTGGAAATCGTGCAGGGAGAAAGCTCCGAAACTTGAAGGTTTTCTCAAGATGCTGAGTCTATTTTTCCAATCACATTGTCATTATCTAATTATGTATATCTGGGGTATATTTAGAGATTTTTTTAAAAAGACATTTTAACCAAATCTCAAGAACTCATTCAATTACCAAAAGTTGTTTGCAACATTATAGTTTTAACAACATATTTGAGCTTTAACAATATGTTTGAGCATGATAATGTTGACTCTTCTCTTCATGTAGGTTTTATAATCTTTGGTTAGTTTTTAGTTATAGAAGGCAGCTGTTATCCCATTGTAAAGCAGAACATTTGTTTTTTGGTCAACAGTGAAATGTATTCATATGCTAAAAATTTAAATATTTACTTATTATTTTTTGGTTTATATTTGGGCCTGTTTTTCTTATTAGGTAGGAAAAAATCTAAAATTAGACTTAATGAAAATTTTCACATGATGTTAAAGAAGTGAGGTAAAGTTTCTTGCAAAAGTTTTAGGGAAGAAGTTATTTATATTCTCTCAAAATGATCTGTTTTCCACTTTTTCCTGAAAAATTGAATTTTTTTGTAACATAAGTTACCCTAGGATTAATTTTTTATTCACATTTTAAGTGTTTGTCCCCCACCCCAAACATATAAAAAGTTAAATACTTAGTATAGAAAACTTGAAAATAGAAAATTCACTCCATTTAGAGATATGCATGAAAAATAATTGGGAATGTCCTTCCCTCTTGAATCCTCTTGTAAACTATTATTAATTTTATGTCAGTTTCCTGTTTATACTTAAAATAATGAAAGTATCCAGGGTTGAGCTAAAGACACTTACTTAATAAAGGGAGTGATATAATGCAAAAGACCCTAGCAGTCAGAACATGTGTGACAGTAGGCAGGTTTAGCGTGGGTGTCTGGCCTCCGCTGGAGATTTGTGAGATGCTCCGCCCTTGAGATGGCAGAAGTGTCCAGATGTGCTTGTTACGTCATTCTTACAGGAAGCCAAGCGCTTTTCCAACATAGATAAATCCTGGGTGAAGATCATGACTCGGGCGCATGAAATGCCAAACGTGGTCCAGTGCTGTGTTGGAGATGAGACCCTGGGGCAGCTCCTGCCACACCTGCTGGACCAGCTGGAAATATGCCAGAAATCCCTTACTGGGTAAGTCCACTGGCTCTTTGAAAGCCGCCGGATCTTAGGGAGAAAAGGGAACATGGAAAGGAGGTAGAATTAGTGGGTTGTGTTTTCTTCACTAAGACTTAATTCATGTACAAAGTTGTGTGCAGTTAAACCTTATCTTCTCTCCAAACACTTACTCTGTTGGTCCTGATGTTGGACTCAGAACTTAGGTTACTTCCCTCACTGACGTAAGATCATGAAAATATTCTCTTACAGTCTTTGCTTTTTAAATGAATATACCTATTTTTTTCTGATTTTCTTCTGGAGAAATGTCTGTACAGCTAAAATATTTCATTATACTTATTATACGAAATAGTATGAGTATATAAGCAGTCAGGATTATAGAGAAATAAGATGTTGAGTTGGGATCCTTTTGTGAAAGTTGAAGTGTCCAAGTAAGACGATGTCTAACGTAATATCTATCAATGTACCCATGCACACATGTGTAGGCTTGGTGAATTGTAAGAGTCATAAAGTTTCTCTATTTTATTGTTCTTGGTTAATAGAAATAGAACATTTGAGTATAACCATGTTAAATAGTAATCTAAGGGTACCTTGATGCTCATGGCAGACACTCAGTCTCAGCATTTAATAATGAGGTCTTGAATAATGAGGTCTCCTTGGCTAACTCTGGGAGAGAGATGATCTTTTCCCATGTGTATGTCCTAATGTCCTCATTACCTGTAATGGGGTCCTCACAGGCTAACCAGCTTGTCCTATGCACTGGGGAGCCCAGATTACCTAAGGCAGGTGCTCTCATAGACATAGGTGATGGTTAAAATACTGGACTTTGAGTGGCACCGTGGAAGGATCTCTGTGAAGTAAATAGAGAAATTTACCAACTTGAACAAAAAAGTGACTAAGCTAAAAATGGAAGAAATACTATATGATAACATGAAAGTAATACATATTATTTATTCTTGGCTAACCAGAAGATGTTTTGAGTTGGTTACTAAAAAATGATAAAGTAATAAGATAGTTTAGGTCCAAGGAAAAGAAGGGTTTATAAACTAAGATGATAAAACTGATGCAAAAACCCTGAAAATTGACCTCAGATTCAGAGACCAAAAGTTCTTCCTAAAGATGAAAGCAAAAGGTGACATACGATTAGGTACAACACCAATAGGTTCCATTACATAAAAGATACTAGTTGCTCAGGAAAACATTTATTACTTTTGTCCTTGAGTTGATACCTTGGAGGCAGTGTGTGTGTGTGTGTGTGTGTGTGTGTGTGTGTGTGTGTGTATGTCTTAAAAAGGATCCATAAGCAGAATCCTCACCTACATTTTTATCCCAGTGTGGGTCAAACATGAGTCATTCAAGTGGAATAGCTTGAGCCCAGGAAATAGGATGGGATGACTGCATAGACTACAACAAATCCTTTGTGAATTTCAATTTTTTTGATGGAAGGCATTGGATATTGTAAAATGTGAGAGATTTAAGCCCTGGCAAGAATCCAGTGGATAGTTGAGCCATACTGCTGGTTAAGAACAAATCCATATATGACAATGGTTTGCTCAGTTGGTATCCATTTAGGAAAATTGAAGGGTCAAAATAAGACCATGCCTAAACAAATGTCTACTCCACTACCTTGGGAGTAGTCAGTAAGAGCTTGAGGTGGGGCAGAAATTTTCTTCAGCAAATGTTTGTAAGTTCCCTCTAATTTAAGTTGTGGGTGTTCCAAAGCAGTATGCTGTAGAATATGCCCAGAAATCCTTTCCTTTGGGGGACTGACCTACGCAGCTTTATTAAACACCATCATCACAGCCTGTGCCAGTGCTAGAAAATCACCTTTTAACTATGTGCTTTTAAAAAAAATTGCAAGTGAATCTTCCAAAAGCACTTTTAGAAAAATGGACTCTCAGGTATTAATGGCTTGATTTGCTTTATAAAATTGTCAGATCAATCAAACAACCATTGAAGGATATTTGACAAAAAGAATTTTTGTTTTCAAATGATTGACATTTTGGCATTTTTTAAACCTCTTCAGAAGATAAAGTCTAAAGTTATTCACAATTTGTTTATTAAGTTTTTTTTTTTGTCTTTTGACAGTTACCAAGGTAAGGTTGCATGCCAAAATGCCTAGTATAAACCCTTGAGTACTCCTATTTACACAAAAGGAACACCCACCCAAGCTATCAAGGATTGGCATGGACAGGAAGAGTCTCCATACCAATCAGATCATAGTTTGGGGGAGGGCAGGTATGAGTCCATGAGGACGTCGCCTTGCTCACCCCATCACAGAAGCTGGTTGACCTACTCCATGAGGCTTCTCCAGCCTGGTCTAACCAGAGAGAAAACATTAGCTGATTTCTCACCAGAATCAGACTAGGAATACGAATCAGTAGGGAAGTTACTAAGAATAAAAATTCAAGCTAGACGAATGAGAAAAATTGGTGTATTAAATAATAAAATGAACAGTTTCAAGTGAAGGAAAATTAGAAAACCAAAAAAAAAAAAATTAAACATTATAGAAGAGTAAGACTAAGAAAATGAGATGTGTAAGGGCAGATGCTGGGCGGCCTGTTTTCATCCTACCCCCATCCCCCCACCCCATGAGACTTTGCACTTTTGCACACACCCAGAATAAATGGATCCAGTGGCCACACAGCAGCTTGTAATTCACATTTTACGGAGCATCCTGGTCAGAGTCAGAGAGGACGATTACAACCCACACACCAAGCCTTGCCCATTACCTCACCCAAGACATGTCCACTTCTTCCCCAAATCCTCACTTATTGTGAGTTTCTCCTTCCTTTTTTATTTTTATTTTTTTGCCTCTTTGTGAAAAATAACCTCACTTGTGTCTTGAAGAATTTGGCTCTTGCATGGCCTGCACCTCCACTCAGCAGAACACGTCCAGGGGTCGCCTGACAACTCTGGGGTTCCTCACATGTGTCCTTGAGATGGCCACCACGCTCTGGTTTCTGATCCCTGGGATCTGCTACCACAAGCTCTGTTTTCCTGGGAAGAGAATTCTGCTGCTATGATATGGGGATGTTTTCTCATAATTTTACACAGGAAACAAATAAATAATACAGATGGCAAGGAAGAGTAGAAAGTTTTCAAAAATCTCAAAGTTTAAAACAGACCAGTAAAGTTTCAAAAAGAAACTTATTCCACTGCGTGACCAGCACGCTAGCTTCATACAAGAGGGTCGAAGCATAGAAGTGAACTAGTGAGATCAAAATAAACACACACAAACTCAATTTACCTTTTTCTTTGATCAGGTCTGAGACGGCCCTCCCTCTAGCTCCTGCCTGGAGCCACCCGGTGGGGCAGCGAGGTTACACCAGGGACTATCAGGAGAGAGAGGCAGGGCACGCCAGAGAGTGGCCTTTTATTGGGGAACAAGAAATTCAGGGAAAAATTCCATCCAATGAAGGTCAAGGGAGACAGCATTCCAAGGTCAGGGTCAGTGATTGGTCTCAGGGTCAATGGTCAGTCACACCCTCACACAGATGGGCTCTTGCACCTAGAGAGGGTGGGGATTAGTTCTGACACAGATTAGCTGGAATGCCTCACACCCAATCAGGGAGGTGCCCAATCATGTGCCAGAATGGCTTCCCCCATATTCCTCCTTGTTTTTCTTAAAAATCAGGAGGTGGTTCACTCTTTCGAGTTTTTGCATTCTTGTTCCAAAGACTCGCCATCCAATTAAAACCACAATCATGTCTGCTGCGGTCGTGCATGCCTGCAGTCCCAGCTGCTAGGGAGATGGAGGCAGGTGGCTCTCATGAGATCTTAAGATCAGAGGCCAGCTGTGGCAAGTGTGAGACCCTGTCTCAAAAAAACCAGGCTAGCCAACCCCAAACAAGGCCAAAAGCCATAATAAACAATTGAAAAAGTAAAAATGCCAAACCATAAAAAAGAAGCTACAATAATCAGAACAAAATATGCTAGAAAATGAGAGCAATAGATAAGAAAATGGTAGAATGAATATATCCATAGCATGAGGAATCACCATATCATAAAGTGAACATAGAAACCGCGATGCAGGGGAAAGTGCGTGGATGGGGGGGGGGGTGTTCCCCTGCACTCCCTTGGCTCCCGGAGGCAGGCACCCCTTCAGAAGTTCACCCACAGCTAGATGTGCTTCTGCTCTGACGGAGGGCTATTGGATTCTCTTTTAAGATACACTTCTAAGACATGCAGACTTCAGGTGGCGTGGAGTTTTTTTTTTTTTTTTTTTTTTTTTTTTTGCTGTGCTTGGAGACACAACAAAACCAAAAAGCAAAACCCCAAACTCTCTTTTGTGTATTTTATCCTGTTTTCTACAAAGGAAGCACAGGATCTTTCAGACCAAGCAAAATGTATGCCTTAGGTTTGCGAAAGATAAAGAAATTCTGCCACCAACTGTGAAAAAAATGTCTCCTTATCAGAATGTGGGATGCTGTTTGACAGATCCCAAAGGCACAAGCCAGACATCAAGTCACAAGGGAAAATCAGATGGTTGTACCATCTTTCTTCCCTTCCATCCATCTCATTAATTTGTTCCTAAGAAAAGATCAGCTTTGTGTGTTCACAGAAGTCTACCTTTTCTCTCCTTGCTTAGATACTTGGAGAAAAAACGCCTCTGCTTTCCTCGATTCTTCTTCGTGTCGGATCCTGCTCTTCTGGAGATCCTGGGGCAGGCCTCGGATTCCCACACTATCCAAGCCCACTTGCTGAATGTATTTGACAACATCAAAACGGTCAAGTTCCATGAGAAGGTTTGCCTAACTTCAAATTGTTGGTCAACAATGACCAAACTTAGCCTATCTATCGACTCTCGGTCTTAAGCAGCTCTCTGATGCTGTGTTTACAAAGGATGGTCCATTTATTCCTGCCCGGTGATTAAAAAGAAACTTTGGGGCCAAAATTACCTTCAGAACAGTGTGTGGCTTCTTCATATCCAAGGTGCAGACTAGAAAGAAAAATAATAGTTTGATATGACCTGGAAAGCAGTGTGTGCAGCGCTCAGAATTTTACATGGCAAGTTAACTATCTAGAGAGCCAACAAGACAGAGACACTAATGGCTCATAATAAAGTGCTTTGACTGAGCAGAATTGTTGTAGGGATTTGATTATTTTAGTCAGGCTTCAGAAAGTTTTGATATGCTTTCTTAAAACTTTTTGTTTTTTTTTTACACTCCTAATGTGTTTGTAGAATCATGGAATTGTATGACCAAAGAGGTCATTCACCTTGAGGGACACTGCTGCCAGAAGTGTCCTAATCTATCCTTCTAATCTATCCTTCCACCTAAAATTCTCTAGGAAAGGGACCTTCCCTTTTGACATTTAGTCAGTCCTCTGGTGTTTCATATAAATCCTTAGTAGCATTCCTCTATTCATCTTAGCACTTAATTTAATTTATGGCATAACTAACAGATGTCGTCCTTAACTATGGGAATATACTCACCCCTGGAACTTGTGCTCTGGCTGGAGCCGACAGAGAGTAACACACTGAGCCTACAGAGCGCAGTGAGCGCCGTGGTGGAGTTACTTCACAGTCAGCAATTAAAAGTCAGTCACTGCGGTCAGTCCCTCGCTGTGCCCCAGATGTGAGGCTGTTCCTGGGATTCTAAGGAAAAATGAACCATAATCAACACTAAAATGGTTTTTATGCAATGCAACACTGAAGAGAAATTTGACAATTAAATTGTCGGTGGTTTTGGACTTCCATTATTAGTATGGTGCTTTTATTAAGCACAAGGAGCAGAGGCATACCCATCAGGGAGCCCTAACTGGGTGCATGGGGTGTCAGGGAGGGTGTCCTGCAGGAGAATATCCACTTGGACTGGTTTCTGAAGGTGAGTGGAAGGTAGCCAGGAAGGTGAAGAAGAGAAGCCTGGTGTGGTCAGGAGGAAGGGCACCTGGCGAGGACCTGGAGGTGTGCGTAGCCCAGGATGTCAGAGCGCTGGGCTGTGGGGGTGGATTAGGCCTCCATGGCTTGGGACAGCAGAAATGTGCTTTCTGTTCTGGAGGGGAAAGTCAGAGGTAAGATGTTGGCAGTGCTGGGTCCTGCTGGAAGTTCTGAAGGAGAGGTTTTCCACGTCTCTAACGTGATTTCTCGTGGTGGTCAGCAGCCCTTGGTGGTTTTGTTGTTGTTGTTGTTGTTTGTTTTTAATTGTAGACAACACTTTATCGCCTCAATGTCTGCTTTTGATTTCAGTTAGTCTTTCTGGGTGTTCCTCTTAACTACACCTGCAGAGACTCTTTTTAAACAATGCCCCATTCACCGGTACTGAGACTTGCAACTTCAACCTTTTGGGCATACACTTCCACCCAGAAGAGGGAGCGAGGGGCACAGGAAGAAAGAGGAACAGGCTAGATTCCAAAGTCCAAGGGCCTGTGGAATTCCAATTCATCCCAGTGTGACAGAAAGCCACGGGAAGCTTCTAAGTGGGGCAGTGACCTGAGCTGTGTTGCGCTGCAGTGTGGGAGGTGGAAGGAGAGCAGCAGGGGTGGAAAAGCCCGACAGGAGAGGCAGAGGGGAGGGAAAGCAGGATGGACATGGATGGTCAAGACCAGTGCTTCCTGTTGGCCACGAGTGTGCACGATGAAAGGGAGCTGATTAGTCAGAACTTCTTGATGTTTTGCTTAAGTCTTGCTGCTACAGCCCTAGAATTTTCTCACTGTCTCCAGCTGTAGATTGCAGATGATTTAGGCTTCCTCATTGGTTGATTAAAAGCCCACAGTTCCTTAACCTCTGTTCATAGCTCTTGTTTCTTAACATTGCATTTCTTTTGTTTTTTTCTTGTTCCTTCCATAAAGATTCTACAACCAGGGCAGATCCTGGTTTTATGGGTTCTAAATATTATAACATTACAAATACAGAATTATATTCAGAAATCCAGAAAGGGTCCATGTAAATGAGGAATCAGAATCTTAGGATTCATTAGATACCTGAAGCATCATTGCTGTCTACAAGTGAAGAGGACTTCGTTAGTACATCCCTAAATCTGAGTGCAAATAGATGTTCTTTATATTTTAATTTTTTAAGTGGTAGATGGACACAATACCCTTATTTATTTATTCACTTATTTTTTTTATATGGTTCTGAATGAAGTAGGATTCCACCCTCCCTTACTGGCATTGAACCCAGAGGCGTTTTATTAGTGAGCCACATCCCCTTTAATTTTTTTCTTAAATTTTAAGACAGGGCCTTGCTAAGTTGCTTAGGGCCTTGCTAAGTTGTTGAGGCTAGCTCTGAACTTGTGATCCTCCTGCTTCAGCCTTTGGAGCCCCCGGCACCAGTGTGATTTTCTTAGTGTCAGTGTTGTTCTCCAGCATTGCATGTTCAGAGGATGGAAGAAGACCATTGGAACCTGTGTCTTGGAACTCCAAATGCTCTGTTCTTCTCATTATGCTTCATGGAAACTGAAGTGCAAGACCTCAGAGGAGCTGGGGTTGATTAGAAACCGTTATGTGACAACAAGTCCCAGTGAAGAACATTGTGTTTGGCCCAGAATTGGAATCACTTTGTAATTACTTTCTGCCATTGATCCTGTTGACCGGGTCACTTCTGATGTCAACTTGAGACTCTTACAGGGTGGAATTCCAGGCTCTTAGGGAGCCCTGTTTCATTTGGGGAAGTCAGAGATCTTTTCACCACCACATTTGTATTAAATATTTCTTTTAGAAAATAAGCTTACTCCCTTAGAGCATTAGCTATTTGGAATCAATTGAGGGCTCCTCTTTAGATTTCATGGTGAACTACTTTTATTGTTTTGAAAAAGACTTCATATCATGTTTTGTCTTATTTTTTATAATCTGTAGCTTAACTTTCTATGGGAAGGAAAACATGACAGGGAATGAAAGAAAAGGAAAAAAATTATCTCTCATTTTTTTTAAAAAAATTAAAATAACAGTCTCTTTTCTCTTCTAACATAGGTGTATGATCGGATTCTGTCCATCTCCTCCCGGGAGGGGGAGACCATCGAGTTGCACAGACCTGTGATGGCCGAGGGCAACGTGGAGGTGTGGCTCAATTCTCTCCTAGAGGAATCACAGTCTTCATTACACCTTGTGATTCGCCAGGCAGCTGCAAATATCCAAGAAGCAGGGTTCCAACTGATCGAATTTCTTTCTTCCTTCCCTGCTCAGGTCAGTGTTTTGAAATTGGAAAGCCTTTTTTTTTTTCTTTTCTCTTTTAACAAAATAGTCATCTTAAATCCCGGCTATTGGTTATTGTAAGCCTCACCAATGCATAACACTGAACCAATATTAAATTTTCATAAAGATTTATTAAGTCTAGATAAGCTTAAAGATTTTTCACTGCAGACGATTTGGCCACATAGAAGGTATAGACTTAAATATGTATTTTGGTTGTAGAGATACTGGACTTACTTTAACTTAAAAAAAGAGTTTTATCTTTCCCTGCTGAACCTCAACATGTAACAATGTATATAAATCATAACAATATACTTAGTGGGCACTCAGCTAGAAAAATGAAAAATACATTTCAGCATTTAAATGCAGGAAACAAGCTGGGTGTGGAGGCCCATACCTATAATCCCAGTGGCTCCAGAGGCTGAGACAGGAGGATCAAGAGTTCAAAGCCAGCCTCAGCAATGGTGAGGCATTAAGCAACTCAGTGAGAACCTGTCTCTAAATAAAATACAAAATAGGGCTGGGGATGTGGCTCAGTGGTTGAGTGCCCCTTAATTCAT